GCGACGCAATATAGCCGCCAATTACAAACAAAAACGGTGCGATTGTCCTCTTACCGCAAACTCTCTCGCTGGGGGATGCTGCCTTGAGCCGCACGGTGGCTCGAGGAGGGGCTGCGGGAAATATGGGAAATACATTTCCCTGCGCCTGTTCCGTGTGCGGCACGCTCCGCTGCGCCGAGGAGGCGGGGGTAGCGGGCTCGGGGTGTTTGCCTTTACTCCAGAATGTAATTCATCTCCCGCCACACAATCGCTCAGGTAAAAGAAATAGGGGGGAGAGGGAGAAAGCCCCCCTCCCCCTTGTAGATAGAGGGATGAGTGCTGTGGGGATACACAGGGGGAGAGACTCCTGTTGAATAACACTCTCCGATAAAACTAGATATGAGCTGTCCCGCGCGCCCGTGATACGGTAATCTTTTGTGAGAATAAAAAACTCGCGTACTCATGTAGGGTGTCCTGCCAGCGCCGTTTGAGAGAATGGGGTAGTATATACCACTCCCCACACGCTACAACGGGGCTGGCCTGGCCGACCACCCTGCAATTAACACACTGAGAAAAAATTTTCCTGCCGGGCACTAGACGGTTGTTTAGTGCGTCCAACTCTGTTCCTGGCACAAAAAAATTAGTTCCCGCCACTAAAATCACTGTGAAAATCACTGTGCGTGGCAACAAAAATTTAAAGGTCGACAATAACAAAACTTTGGTGCCCAGCCACAACTGTATAGTACGTCAAAAACTTTTGGTCTCGGGACAAATTGTTTAGTGCTCAGGACCAAAAAAAATTCTCAGTGCATTTACAAGATTATTTTTCTGTTATCTAGACTAAAATTAGTTTTGGTATTGTGAAAATGTTTCTGAAATAAACTTTTTAGTGATGGAGCGTTGCGTACTTGAAGATTTAGAGACAGAGTAACCCCTTCTCGCGCTCCCCCTGACTCCTCCGTGGGCCGGAGTTATTTTCCTCTCCCTCGCTTTTCTTCGTTTCATTCACTCCTATCCGTTACATGATCACCCAGAGCTCATTCCAACATTTCTCCGCGCCAATAACAGTCTGCGCGCTGTCTGCCGCAAGTGCCTCCGCCATCAAGCTTGCGTGCCCCTCACCAGCAAGCGCCGCGGCTACACGCCAAAGCGTCTCTTCCCTGCCACCGTTTCTAAAAACTATTTACGGCGTTTATCCTTTTCAAGGTAAAGTTGTGGTATGTACAATGTAGAGTCATAAATTTCCGAAAAAATCCGAAGAATAATGCCGAAAATAATCCGGAAACTTCCCGATAAATTCCCGGAAAATTCCAGGAAATTTTCCGATATTTTCTAAGAATTTTATCTGGAAACTTTCCGGGGCTTCCATCCCTAGTACAATAAAATCAGGGGTGTCCATCAACTATGCGACTCGACTCCTGGACACCCTAGACTTGCTGTGCGCTGTGGATACCCCCCTGGAGGGTTCGTGTGCACACCAAACTTGTCGCCTCTGCTGCGCTGCGATGCTCGGGAAACGGACGGCGAGGGTGAAACTGAGGTTGTGCAAACAGGCGCGTGCAGGGCTCTTGGAGTGGCGCGTGTCAGTGACCCGCGCGCCATGGGGGAGGTGAACCCGGGCGGATGTGGTGCCTGGGGTAGGCTTCCGTAGGCTGAGCCAAACCAGACGGATGCGACAGTCCGTGCCTCCTCCCCCTCCGGGGCTTGCGTCCGCGCCGGTCACGCCACGCCCCGCCACGTCCCGCCACGTCCCGCCACGCCCCAGCACGCCCCGCCACGCCGCGTCAGCCGTCTGCCCCGGGGAGGGTGTCGTTTATCACTATTATCCACTCGGCTTCACGCCGATAACGGCTTGAGATAATGCGTCACCACACGAGCCCGGGCTGCTCGAAAACGCAATACTGTTGATGCAAAAACTTTATCGTTCGGAATATCGTTAGGTTTCTGTGACAAGGCAATGATGAATTTGCGAGAGGAAAAAAAAATGGGTTAGACCATTTACTACTGTAGTCACAGAGTCACAATGAACGTGACCTGGTTACTTCCGCTTTCCATTTCTCTGGGTGTACGTATCTCAGGATTTCGTAGTACAATCACGAATCATTGCTTTCGACAAAGAGAGCCAAGTGGGATGGATAAATTTGAGAGAAGCAAAACTATAGCAAGTGGGAAAAAAAGGAGAGAGAGAGACGGAGAGAGAGGGAGTGGACAAGAAGAAGTGCGCTGCAGCCGCGGAAGTGCGTCGCGCTGATTTATGGCCACATCCGCCTGGCTATAATTAACAGCGGGGCTCAAATGAGGTCGATGTACCCCATTCCACGAGCCGAGCTTAGCTTGCTGAGACGTGGCGGGGCGGGGCGGGGCGCCGCGGGGGCGGCAGACCGGAGGGCGCGGGGCGGGGCGGCCGGGCGCACCGGGCCGTGACTGCGTCGCCGAGGGGACCCGCTGGGGGGGTATAAACATGGAAAGAAATGTGATGTGAAGGAAGTGCCCGCGGAGCAGATCTCTGCAGAGTAAGGTTTTCTGATTTTGTAGCATGGCTGCATTTGAATAAACGTCGCTGAAAAGGAGTGACATCGGACATCGGACATTTTGAAACCATCACTCTTACGGTGCGATGTTCCATAATCGTTCGTCAATTGAGGCGACGGAAACGGACTTTTGGGCAACGACGAATTTCGACGTCGTATTTCATATCAGACACCGTATACCAGACACAGACACACATTCACTCGTGCGCTCAAACTTTAACAGTTTTAAAATGTGTCGCTTGGTTCTCGGGCCTCTCTAGATCGCGGTACCTACTTGATGCCCCCTTCCCCCTCCCCCTCTTCCTTTTTACTCACCCGCGGCGACATATGTCGGCCAGATCGACTTGGAAATCTCGGTTGTTTGTATGCAGGCCGTGGGATTTATTTACACTCGCCCTGCCGAAGGGCTCCGAGGACATAAAAGTGAGTGCTATGCCGCTGGCTGCTCCGTGCCGATGAAGAGGAGCAGAGCGAGGAGCAGGCGGGAGCAGGGCCAGGCTGCGCCGAGTTGCGCTGCTGGGCCCGGGGAGCCTGCGTCCGCTGCGCCCTCGACACCCTCAGGGAGCGATTGACCCCCGCTGACCCCGGGTGACCGCCGTATGAGGTCCGTACGCCCCGCCACGCCCCGCCACGCCCCGCCACGACCCGCCACGACCCGCCACGACCCGCCACGACCCGCCACGCCACGCCACGACCGCTCTGTTGGATGACGCGGGAGAGGTGGTGTGGGTGAGGGGGCCTGTGCAACCCCTTTGCTATTGCCGCCGCCACCACCACCACCAGCCAACCACCGCGGG